GGGGGGGGGGGGGGGGGGGGGGGGGGAGAGCAAAAACAAACACTGATTAAGAAATGTACTAAAAAAATAAAAAAATAAAAAGGAGGAAGTGTTACCATTATTCTTAGATAATAGAAAATAATTTCAACTACAAAATTTTCAAATTGTGACTATAATGTAAATTCAGGATGCTTACAATCATCTGATTTCTATGTTCATTGAGTTTGTCGGTGTTTTTCTTGTTGGAATCAAATTTTGAGGATCGAGATAGTAACATTTGAGACTTTTATATGCTAATAATTACACACGAAAAAAAAATTGATAATGTATATGATTGTTGAGCTCACGAGTAGGGCCGCTTTTGTGAACAAATAAATATCCCAACTGGTCTTACATGCTGACAATTATCAAATAGTAGGAGGGTGGGGGCTAAACATGATGCAACGGTATTGTTACTTTCCTTATCCTGCAAATCATTACATTAGCTATAATGGTGCCTTTGTAAAGTGATTAGGGACTCTTCAGTGATTATGCTAAAAGCAATATATTTACTTTTCCTTTTCAAATCTCTCTCTCTCTCTTCTCTCTTTGTGTCTGTCTCTGTGTGTGTGGAGTCAGTAGGAATCATGCCTGTTAAAGTAAAAGATGTGTCAAATAAAGAAAGGGAAAAAAAGAAAAGAAGCCCTATTGCCAACCCATGTTTCAGTCAGAAACTGAAACAAAAGGTTCATCATTCTTGTACCCAGATGAACTCGCTTGCTCTCTTTCTCCAGCTATCTCTTACTCAGTTCGTTTTTGTTCATGCAAGATCCAAAGACATCTCAAACAAGGTATGCCAACACATTCTTTCCTACTTCTCTTACATGGTAGAAAGATTTTTTAGGTATATGTATGCACAATGTGCTCTAGTAAACACTAGTTCTTGTGCAGCATGGAATAGAATTTCACTGTCTAGTCATCATTTTCATGGTTACATTTCACACATTATGTATATTTATCTGTTTTGCGAGTTATTTTATACAATATAATAGTCCAGAACCAATATGGAAACATAAACTCGAGGACAATAATTTGGCTTAATCAACTTTACGTATTGTGCTGTAATTTGTATTTAGCATTTGAGCAAGGAATAAGTGGTGAAGGAGGTAATGTAAAGATTCATATGTTTGTGCACAAAAAATTTTAGAGCAATATGCCAGCGAAGTGCTTTTATTTGCCAGGTAGACATCACTATCTATTTTGTAAGGAGACGTGATTTTATTTGGGTAATTGTGGACGGGTTGATGAATCCTTCTCATTTTCTACCTGTTAAAAATTTAAAATGCCTATTCACTACAAACCATCAAAGGTTTTTTTTTCTTTCCACTATTAAAGTTATTGATGTACTTTGTCATTAAAATTGATATGAATATGCTAGGAATGTTTTGCTTTTTCAATTCGTTTGAATATATTTTCTAAAATGAAGGAGCGGACACAAGAGTGAGGGAGACAAACTTTTGAAGTGTGCCCACACATTTGATCCCACAGTGCACCAAAATAAGTGTGGAGGTATCCTCTTGGGGATCCGATGACCTCAACTGGATGTGATACATCTGTTGGGTTGTCTTCTTTTGAACCTTGATGGCCAGCCAGTCTATTGGTGAATACTGATCCGAAATCAAAAACTGTGACTAGTCTAAGGCCCAAATAAAATACCACTAAAGCTATGATTTTTCTGTTTATCTTTTGTGTGGAAGTTCTAACTTGTACAATTAATTTAAAGTAAATACTTGAAGATTTTAAGGGATTTTGAATTCATTCATATAAAAAATTTTGACAAATTTTTCTCCGTGGTTGATCATCCGTCATAAGTCAATTAAATTTTTTATTATAGATAGTTCTTCCATTATTACGCGGTACATGACGTACCGAAGAAAATATATTGATAGTGCAATAGGTAGAGGATCGAAATTCGACTATCTATAACGTTAGTGCTCGCATTCCAGATTTAGATGTGACATATGTTAAGAGGAAAAAATTGTGATTTATGTTGTTTTTTGATTTATGTTGTTTGATAGGTGAAATTGTAAATTCAATTAATTTCGTTGTATATAAGGTATTAAGTACATTTGGCCAGACTTAGTCAAATATTTGCTTGTTCTTCTCTGTTTCTAACCTGGTCATACAATTGACCAAGTCTCCAGTGTACGCATTAGACAAGTACTTCAACATTGCTTTTCGAATTCTTTGTACCTTGACTTAAGTTTCTATACCTACTGGATTAGCAAGGTTGATCAAATCAAAGATTTAGCAGTAAGTTTCATGTAGGAAAAGAAAAGAAAATCTGGCACGTCATTTATACTTATTCTCCAACATAGTCAATAATGCAAATTCGTCTTATGGTGCATCCAGCAATCAAGCATAACGTGTACAAATAATGTTGTAGGAAGCCTTGGTACCAAAGAGCTGTGGGAATGGCCACTTTGTGGAGGACCTTTTCCAAACGGGCAGAAATTTCGACAAAAAATGCTACTCTATGGAGGACAATTTCTGAATCAACGGAGGTTCAGACCACAAATAATTCGAGCAGACAAAGGCTCAGAAAATGCAGCTCCTTAAGGGTCGCCACATCATTCACTAGGGTTTGTCTATGCGCACCAATCTCTTCCTACACCGAGGTTTTCCAAGCAGACGTGCCACCTAGAAGAAGCAACAGTTATCCAAGATCAAAGCCATTGCCCACACCACCGGAAAGAACGCCAAGCGCAAGATTGAGTATAGAAGGGAGGAGAATTTTTCGGGGAAAATCTTTGACCGACGATGTTCTAATGAGGAGATTTGTTGTGGAGGAAGAAGCAATGATGCAGGTTAGGAGGAGGAATCAGATGGAAGTTATTAGGAGAAGAAGTGCCATGAGAAGGAAAAAGCTTGGTCCCAGTCCCCTCAGTAGAATGGTCATGGCTGAGGAGGAATGAACTTCCAACTTTTATAATAATTCTGCCCATACCCAAATCAGCAATTTTTTTTTATATTTATTTATCATCTAATTTCATTGCTGTGGTTGGCAAAAGGTTTGTGTTTTTTACTGCAGGTGTTTTTTTCTTTATGATATCATTGTGTTGTATATATTTCTGTGCAGTCAAATGCACCAAAATTTAGCTTGGTGATGTTCCCTCAACTCCTCTGGTAGTAATACATCAAATGACCGGAAAAAAAAAAACTAATGGCGTTCGCATTTAAACATAAAATCATTGATAGACTAAGCTACAAGACCTAACATTTTACTTTCATATACACTACGTTTGTTGAGGTTTTTAGAAAGAGTTAGGGTATACACCCTATCCGGGTAGAAATTATGGTACTGCATCTTACTATCTGATACTTTGTGAAAGAGATTTTTCTCAACCTACCCTACCCAATTAAGTGTACTACTCATATTCGAATTTCATCCAAGGGTTGGGTAGGAAGACAAAATTTGAATGGGTATTTAACATTTCTATCCTATTTTTTCAGAATACTAAAATTTCTTCTGTTGGTCTACCCGATTTTTTTTGGTAGCCGATCAGTAGGGTAGGATAGGGTTAGAATATTCGGGTAATTAGAAATTTGAACACCCTTAAAAAGGATAGTACTAGTGCTATTCAAAGCTAAAAAATTTGACCTCATTTGTTGACTTGATAATGCAATTTCATTATTAGAAAATTAGCATGTTCCAATATTTAATCGATCCAAATAACATATTGAATCAGATCAACATTTTTAGGTCAAATATAGCATTATTCTTGTACAGTCCATCCCAATTGACTAACAATCAACTGTTAAGAAAAAAAAGAATAAACTAGGCATTTATTCTCTGGTCAAACTCAACCCAAATCCCTGGATCCAGACCCAAATCCAAAACCTACCTGTTCCTTTCCCTATTGTCTCTCCCCCAACCCATCTCACTCCAGATCCCCCTTCTACATATGCACCCCCCAACACCCATTCTCCCTGCTTGGTCCTGTATGTTGATTCTGTGAGATGCGGGCATGCTAGAGCTTGCGTCAATTTAAATTCAAAAACACAACACCTTACTGGGTCGGGCAGGGCCGATGTGTAGATTGTGATTGTGCAAACAATGTACTAGAAAGTATGGTATAGACTTCACAGTCCTTTTGTATGCCATTACAAGAGTTAGGGTATTTTGAGGTTAATTTTTTATGGAAAATTGTAAGCAAGTACCTTTTAAACTATTTAATTGTGAGAAATATCTTAACTAAAATATTTTGTAGATAAGTACCCTTAACTTGAAATATATTGTATTTAGGTACTCATTGACAAATTTTCAAATATTTTCTTAACTAAAATGTGCATTTAGTTTAGAAATTCCATTTTTTGTATAAGATTTGATATATTATATTAATGGTTTTATATTTTAAGGAATTAAACATATCTAAAATTCAAAATTATACCACATGGAATATACCTTAACGGCTTGATCCAAATTTTGAAATTTATTTTTTATATTATTTTTTAATGTTAAACTACTCTAATTATTCTCAAATCTAACAACAGTGTCACTTTGTAATATTACACCGTGACGTGACACTGTCATTCATTAAAAGTAATATATATCGATGTCACATTTATGATACCACATTATGGGAAGCATACTATTTTAACTGTAAATGAATTAGTGAATATAATTTCACAACTTTTTTTTATTAGTGATTAAAGTGTTAATGAAGATGTTACACTGTAATGTCACATTATTGGCAATTTGAATCAAAACAGAAAGAAGATCGGTCTTCAATGGAGTTTCAACATTTGTATTTTGTTTTTGGTTGAAAATTGAAGGATTTGCAGCAGTTCGTAAAAAAAAAAAATTGAAAACCCATGTTTTGAGGGATATTATAGTTACTGAATTTAATGGGATTGTTGCATATTTTTTAGCAGTTTCCTTATGCACTCTTTGCGCCAAATAATTGTTACTTTGTGGACATTTCTGTCATCCAAAAAAAAATTGTACTTTTATACAAAATATTTTGTACCGAGTACTTTTTTACAATTAAGTGGTAAATTAGGTACCAACTCAAAAAAAACCCAATTTTTTACAACGGTTGATGTCTAGAATCCCAAAAAAAGCGTATTTTGAGGAATTTTTTTTTTTTAGTTATAGTAGTGCTGCCATAAAAGATTGATTTATTGCTGCAAATGTTATTTGATATAGACCATTATCGTCATAATATTTTTTTGGGGCTCCACTTATTATAGCAAGATTAATGTTGTTGCATGTTTCTGTGTGTTCTCTATGCATTATGTGCGTGTGCGTGTGCGCTTGACTGTTTGTGTTTGTGTGTTTCTGTGTGCAGCCCATTCACCCCCAATTACACACAGAAAAAACTCTAACTTGCCTTCTCCCTCCTTTTTTATCTTTGCCTGCACCCCCAACACACACACCGATGTTGGTCGCCGCCAAAGTCAACAATTAGTCTCTCACTCTCCCTCTGCCTCAATTACAGTATTTCCCTCTCTCTCTCTCTCTCTCTCTCTCTCTCTAGCCCAGTCAGCACCTCCATGTTTTCTATGTGTGCTATGTGCGTTGTGTTTGTGTGTTTCTATGTGCTTTTGTTTGTGTGTGTTTTCTCACTCTCTCTCTCTTTCTCTTTCTATTTGTGAATTTTATTTTTGTGTTTTTCTGTGTTTTTTGTGTGTGTGGTCTTCCACTCTCTCTCAATATGCATTTTTTGGGTTTCTGTGTGTGTGTCTGTGCATTGAGTGTGTGTGTGCGCCGACTATGTTGAGTGTGTATAGTGATACTTATTGTTGAAGACTATTCATCGAATTTTGTATGTTTTTCTTAGGGGGCTATGTGTTGGTTTGTTGATCTGACTCTTTGTTTTGATATTTCGGTCTTCGATTTTTATCACCATTTTTCTGGTTAATACAATGATTTTTGATGTTCTAGAAAAGGGGTTACTAATAGTTAATACAGTTGCTATGAAAATAATTAGACTTTCAAGTGTTAATCCCTAATTTGACACCTTAGTCGTGCCACATGCTGCGATGGTCATCTGCAATTAGTAGTTGGGTATCCTCTTTCCCATAGGGTTTGAAAAGACTAAACAATGGAAACGAGTTACTGGATTTTTTGGAACCAATCATGACTAAGGGTCTAGGCTTGGTATGAAGAGTTGTGCTCAATTCTAGCAAGTTGAGCTGATAAACACTCACTCTTCCTTAACGGTTTAGTTTTTTATGTTTATGGATTTGCAATATTTTTTTAGTTTCTTAAAGAGTGTCATTGGAATTCTGTTTAATATTTCTTTTTGACAAGTTAAAGTTTAGAGTGATAATAATTTGATCGATCTAAATTGGGCTCTAAACCTTTTGATAATTGTAAGCACTCTTCCTTCCTTTTTTACTTTCTATTGTAATATAATTTAATTATGAATTTCAATGCATTTTTCCTTGCTCTTGCCAATCACCATTGACTGCCCATCTTCTCAAATATTTTTTACGTACTAGAATACTCTTAATTATAATTTTGATATCATACATAATATGTTTGTTCGTTGCTTTTGATTATTTGTGATGTCATTGAAATGATAACCAAATTTAGTTTACTGACTACCTCATTTTTTAGCTACTCTAAAATTTTCTTTACTCACATGGTTTTAAAGAATATGTTAATCTATTTCAATTATTGTGTATGCTATATTTTGAGTAATTCTCTTTGTCAATTTAATTACTATTTTCTCACAAAGCTACAAATCACCAAAATTATTCATGGCTTAACAAATTTTCTTTTTCACTAGGTAAGTAGTAATTATTTGTACTTTTTAATTCATATTACAAATTTGTTGAGTGATTATCATTAATTGATTCTTTTTAATTAATGTTTGTGTTGGTTTAGTTGTGGATGCTTGGATATGATTTTATTATTTCTCAAGGGTTAATTACAAAATGCCCCTTTTAAGTTTGGATCATGTTTCAATCAGCTCCTCGTGGTTTCAATTTCGACAATTTGCCCCCTTCAAGTTTAAATGTGTTCAAATGCACTAAATTAACATAGGAATTAAACAAAAAATTCTAAAATTACTCTTGTACCCTTAAATTTTTTCCCCAGTTTCTCTCTTCTCATTTCCTAATTGGTCCTACAACTCCAACACCACCAGTCCCAACCTATCTTATCACCACATACCTTACAAACATCACCACCAATCACCAAATTACCCACCATCAGCATCACCTAACCACCACCCCATCATAACCCAATCAACCAAAAGAGAAAGAGAAAACCAAGAAAGGAGACCCGTTGCACTTACCACACCAACAACCAAATTTAATCAACATTACCACTATAAATGAAACACCACAATCACTAGAAGATCTTCGACTCCATCTATTCAATATCCAACAAAATTAGCTGATGCTGATGGTTGGTGTGAATTTCAGGTGGAGATGGGTGTGGATTTCAGTGATGCTAATGGTGTGGCGTGCTTGTGGGCGTCCCTTGACCCTTACATCTTGCTTCGACAACCCCCCAACCCCCACCTCTTGCTTCGGCAACCCCTTATTGTGCCCCCGAACCCCTACTCCTACTCCAGCAGTCCTACCCCCATACCCAACGTCGACAACACCCCAAAACCCAAAACTCACCTCTGGCAGCCTATACCATACCAACACCGGAAATCTCTCAACCCCATCCCACCTCCGACTGTCTTTCGTTGCCCCATCATCAAACAAGAAAATTCAACACTATAATAAGCGTGGGTTGAGCGCAACTATCACCATCTTTCCTTTTCCCTCTACTCCGACCAATCAACTATGGCGTAACTGCAAAGAATTTGTTCTCTTTCTCTCTCTCTCTTTAGATGGGTGTTACCTTGTAGAGGATAGATTGGGGGTTAGGTTGTTTAGGGGCTACTGTTGGGAGTGGGGGTGGATCTCAGTTTCAGGGTGGGTTTGGTTTTCACTAGGTATTGGTGGGTTTCGGTTTTCACTAAAGGAGGAGGGAGTTGGGTAGTCAACCATGGCACATCTACTTTGAGGGAGATGGGGTTAGGGTTGGGTTTGACTGGAGGAACTCGCTGGGAATTCACCGGGTTTTGCTTGTGAAGAGTTGGTTTGTTTCTTTTTTTAGATAGAAGGGTATATATGTCTTTTAATGGTGTTAATGTTGATTTATGTCAATTTATACAATCAAGGATAATGGCAATGGGGTGATTGAGATATGTTAAAACTTGAAGGGGCAAATTGTCGAAATTGAAACCACAAGGAGTTGATTGAAACATGACCCAAACTTGAAGGGGGTATTTTGTAATTAATCCTATTGTTAAATGTTTTGTGTTAATTGTGTATTTCCAATTTCAGTGTTTCGTTACTTAAGGTTTGCATGTTTAACAATTGACCCTATTAATTGCGTAACCACTAGTAGCACAACACCACAATCATTAATTAAATTCACTATTTTTTTAAAACTCTAAAATACGTTTCCTTTAAAGCAGCCTTAAATTAATTTTCTATCTTAGAAATTATTATCCTTTAATTCAATGTCACTGAAGATTTGTCAATAAAATCTCTATCATAAATTTGAAATTTAAATTCAAATTTCCCAATATTATTACACACACAAGAGGTTATCTTCTTCTCCTAACCACTTCTTCTTCTTATTCACTAGTCGCCATTGATTCCAATTCGAGCTCCAATGGCTCTTCACCTTTCTTATTGTTTTTCTTCATCTGTTCATGTTCTTCCCTCCCTTTCCCTTGTTTTTGGGCATGTTTTGGATTGAGATCTAAAGGTTATGTTTCTGATCAAATCCAAAAAATATGGACATGTCGAGAGACAAATAGAGATAGAAGTTAAAATTTATTGCATGCCTGATAATCATGGAATTCGATGAAGATGACATCGCCGGTGGCGATCCAGAGTCTATTGTGCATCTTTCCACATATATGGCAGAGTCGTTAGACATTGTCGATGCATGTGACTTCATAGAATTTTGTGTGTATGTGTATGCCGATATGTATTGATTTAAGCAATTTTTGTGGTAATTTAGCTAAGAAATCAATTAATCTGAGTGATTAGCAGTTTAAATCGTTATATATTTTTTTTATTTTTTTTTTTGTACATTTTACTATTTTTTGTTAAGCATGTTATTATTATTTTTTTGATGACCATGTTGCCGTTAATATTTAATGTTACTATTGTTTTGAAATATCGATATTGACTATTATTTTTTTTTTGTTGATCATGTTACTACTCCTATTTTTTCAAATATTATTCAATTTTCCTATTTTTTATTTTTTAATGTTATTTTTTGTTTTTATGTTGTTATTTTTAATTGAGCATATTACTATTTTATTTAATGAGCATGTACTATTAATATTGAATGTTATTATTTTTTTCGAAATATCAATATTCAATATTAATTTTTTTTTTTGTTGATCATGTTACTATTGTTATTTTTTAAAATAATAATTCAATGTTCTTACTTTTTATTTTTGAATGTTACTTTTTTTTGTGTTTAAATGGTACTATATAAGATTCTTGTGGTCAAAAAATTAATCCCGCTATACTAATTTTAAAATCAATTTATTTGCTTACTTCATTTAAAATTAATTTCTATCTATTATTTTCTTAAAAATATCATCAAAATTTTCTCAAAATGCATAACTCGATAAAATTTATTTAACATATGTACATTATCGTGTATGGATAATGTATGAAATAAAAGTTGTATTAAACTCCTAATTAACTAAATATTAAATTATTGAACATGAGAATTGAGTGATGTGATATTTTTGGGGGAAAAATGTATAGGGGATAAATATTTAACTTTCTAGCTGATTTATTATATATAAAGCTGATTTATTATATATAAAATAAATAGTGTTATTCAATATATGGATATAAATAGATATGAGAGAGAGAGAGTGATAACTTAAATGTTAGTTAAACTTTTAGAGCTCGTTTGACAGACGTATTATGAGGAGATAAAATATTGGATTGTATTATTTTTTATTTAATCGAGCCTAATACTTTGTTTATTATATTAATTTCAAAAATGTATATTAATCATATACTTTTCGTATATTTTTATATGATAGACATGTATTATGGAGGTCTTTTAATAGGACAAAGAGAAATAATATTATAATTCAATCCAAATATTTTATTATACACATTATAATCCCAAAGTGATAAAATCAACTTGGGGAGCTCAGCTGGGATCAGAGGGGAACGACCTCTTCTGGTAAACAATCAGTTATACATTTCACAAAGATTGATATTACTTAGTGGTCCTAACAGGGGGCCCCGCCGCCGGGGACGGGGGGCGGGGGGGGGGGGGG